ACCCTAATGCCCCCCCACCCCAATTTTGCCCAGGAAATTGCTCAAATGACAACTGCATTTAACAAAACTACGTAAGATACGGCTTAACAGAGAGACTAATAACAGAGAGATGCTCCAATGTGACATATTTATACGTTTCCACTTAACTTTTAGACAGCCAAGGGCAGGCATGGTTAAAGACCTGGACTCATGACCGGAATGACTCTGGCTCGAGTCCCAGGAGGTCGTGCTGTCACACCCTTGAGAAGCTGAATCCGGATGTGACCAGCTGTGCATGTTTACTCACCAGAAGCTCTGAATAAAACCTAAAATATTCAGTGACCGAATGTTGCTGCGCTTTCCTGCTTTGTCTCTCATGCTGTGCTGTCGCTGAGATGGGATCTGAACTATAACACAGTGTGGTACTTTGCCAGAGCAGCTGTAGGGCTCTACCCTGACGTTTCAAAGACGTCATCCGGCTCAGATTCGCAGCTTCTGTGGAATATTACAACTGGGAAAAACGTGTGTTCTGCAGCACAATCGGCACAATTAGGTCTTTGTGTGCTGGTGACTGATTGTATGTCACACAGGTGAAAAGGCAATTGAAGGGTTCATAAGCTCATCACAAATTCTGCTGTACAGAAAGACGCAGACCTGAATCTAAGTGCGCAAAGCGGACCATCCCTGACCACATTTTAGAAGAATGGTGCCAGGAAAGACCAGTGTTATCAAGGGATAATTGCAACATTCACTGGGAATTCCGCAGGGAATTCTGATCCATCTCCGCTGTGATTCCATTTGCTTGTTGCTGCCTGTTATAGGAACGGGCCGGATACAGTGAACAGAGCAGGGACTGGTACGGATGTAGCAGTCACACTGCTAGGAAAACAAACGTATTCTTCACAAAAATGGACGCAAAGAATTTTCCAGAATGTAAACCATTATAACTAAAAGAGTTTAATCCTGAGTTCTGGTTTCATACGAGTCAAAAGATGTCTGCCAATGCAACTGAACTGCGTCTTTTATTTGGGTCAGCAGAGGTGGGTAACAGTAAGGCAGTCTGCATTGATTCCATGTAACAGATGGACGCCTGGTGGCTTCGGAGATCCACCTATTAAATACCCCCATTGACGTGGGCGGGGCCAAAGAATGCTAAGCGACAGGTTAAAGATGCTTGTCTATCAGAGGCATGACCTAGTCTACTCTATGTGTCACTTCATGTCTGGCATGGTCTGGCCCTCAATCCCTACGGGGGCTTTGGCTGCTGAGTGACTACCAAAGCCACCAAATTCAGTAGGCTGGCAGCTGGTTTGTACACAAACACGGCAGGATCACCACCAGACAGCTGGGCGCGGTCACCTCCAACCCACTGCACTCACACGGCCTGGCTCTCTTCACGGCCCATCGAATCGCACTCAGGTGTATCTTCTGGAACGACTCTGCCACTGATCTGTAAATATGGGGATGTGGACAGACTCCTGGGCTTGGCTATCCCCGCGGAATGAACCGGAACAAGGCAACTCACCGCTCTTCGCTGGATGACAGTCACAGTGTGGTCTTATCCCGGTCATGTCCAGCACACCAAGTGTCACCCCTCAGCATGTGGTGGGGCACGGTCCTAGATGGTTCTACACACATCTTTCGGAGGGGGGGGGGGCGGACTAAAGGCACACTTACTCATCTCCATGTACTCCGGGGTTAACCCTTCGAAGGGCTCCAGGTCGTAGTCGAGGTCCCAGCGCTGCGGTGGTCTGCTGTGCTGGTCGTCGCTCTCCTCTGGAGCTCCTCCCTTGTCCTTCAATGTCCTGAATAGTTTCTTTAGCTTCCTGGGGATTTTCATGCCCGTCAGAGGGTTCAGTCACATTTCACTCATTCTGGGTCCATTCACATTCACATGCACATGCACGACCACTTCAACATCACCGTTTTAGCTTGGATGAGAACTTCAAGCATGTTTAAGACTTGGCTTTGGGTTTTTATAGTGTGTTTCAAGTGTGTGTGTATTTATATGTCAAACTGAAGACTATCCAAATGATCAGTTTTATTATACGAGTTATGCAGAAAACAAAACAAAGACTTTTGCACATTTAAGTGTTCCAGAAAGTATTCAGCCGCAGCACTCGAACCCTGACCCCACGTATCTCAGGTCACACTGAATCACATGGTTCAGGCTGTTGTAAACAAGTGCCAAAACTGATGCAATATTGTTCATGGTTCGCCTCTTTTATTATTAGTTATAAATTGAAATGCAGTAACTGTGGAATCAAATAAAATAAGAGAATTAAATCTAAATCAAAAGACTTATTCTACCAGTCAAACATTTTTGCACACCACAAGTTTTTGACACTTTTCCATTTATTTCATACATATATTTCATATATTTTCTATTCTTGTTAAACATTGGAAAGGTGAGTGAACAACTATAAATGAAAATATAAGTCAAATAAAAAAATTTTCCTTTATAACCTAGAAAGAGTATGTAACAGTGCATGTCTGCCATCCTACAAACTGGTTGTGTGGTGATGGCACGGTCAAATTCTAGGCTGTCCTTTAACATTAAATGCACTAGTTAACTGTTTCTTCCCATGAAACAGAGAAGTATTTAATGTCAAATGTGGAAAAAATGTTTCAAATTTCATCTGCTGTTATAACTGCTAGAGGAGGTTACTCTGATGAATCCAAGATATGACATTTTCTTGATGATAAAGGTACTCAGATGGTGAACATACTGTAAATTTATTTGATGGCAAAGAACACCGAGTGTATTTTTAGCAAATGTTAAGTAACATCAGCAAATGTGGAAAATCTCATTGTGTGCAAAGACTTTTGACTGGTAGTGCAAGAGGTTGCAAAAGGGATAAATGATGATCATAATTCATGTTCTGACTTTAGTCAGTGTTGAGATTAACCAAATGTAGGTTTACACAATTTAAAGCACATAAATCATCTATCATGATTAAACGGCCCCTGCCCCACACAGAGAGCCAAAGCCAAAGTCTGCCTATTTGTCACAGCTGATATTTATATTTGCAAAAGCCCATTTAAGCCTGGAAACCAGCCCCGTATGTTAGTGTCACATTACGTCAACACTACCGCACGACCACAATGTCACCTGCAACGGTTCAAAGAGTGACCACAGTGGTGGGGGCTGTCATGGTTCATAATCAGTACAGTATATTGGTTTTGCTCTTAGGGCCAATGTGTAGGGGACACTCCCCAGGAGAAAAGCTGTAAGTCATTTCGGTGATGAATGACATCGGTCTACGCCGCCACACAGGATGCACTGCCTCTAACCTCTCACACACGGAAATTATTCATTCCCTCTTGTTCCTTTGCTCATAGACCAGGTGTCAATCTGGACTGGTTTTGTAACTAGAATAATACACCTTGACAGGCAGTTCAGCAAGACAGTTAGATGGCACAGTCGTGTCCTGTTCTACTATATACAAGTGTGCGTGTATATAATTACACACGCACACACACACACACATAAGGTATAGGCATATGCCTTTAAGAAATCTGTTGGCAATAACTGCCCATATAATGGTTTTACATAATGATTTATATTAGCAATACACACTGGTGATTGTAGCCTATGTATTGAATTGCGCCATCAGGCTGATGACCCCTCTGTTTGAGAAATTGGTATGTTCCAATTCAAAAGGAAGCCATCTGAACTCATTTCCTCTGAGCCCTCAGAACCTGTAATGTGGGGGGCAGCACACCACCAATGAATCTGGGGGTGGGGAGGGGGGGCGCATGACTGACATCTTATACAAACCAACAACCAAGGTGCTTTTAACTACAGAACCTTGTGCCTGCTTTGTTCTGGGTGGTTCCGTGTGTATTCTGACAGAGAGGGGTCAGTCTCTCAGCCTGTATTACATAGATGTTCCAATAGTACCTCTAATGAGAGCCATCACAGGCTTGGAAATTTCCAGCAAACTTCTGCATCTTTTTTTCCAGACGGAAAAATGAAGACCTCTGCTCACTAATAAGTAGGCGCTCAGAGTCATAGTATAAAAATGATGTCCGTTTCAAAGTTTAAAGTAATAAATTACGCAAAATATTTGAGTCGTATGAAACGTCAGCCGCTGTATGAGTGTGTAATTTGCATGAATGTGACTCCATGTCTCCCTCACAGGATGAGAAGTGACAGCAGAGGAAGTCTAGATTAAAGGTTATAGATTAAAGGGCCACACCGCCAGCGACCGCTCGCCGATAAAACGGAAAAAAACACACTAATCTCGATGCTTGACAAGCCTGCCATTGTCTTTTAACCACTTAATGTTTACCAGATCGCTAACCCATAATGGCGGAACCTCAAAACCTCACCAGACAATAAAAATGAGTGACATAAGGAGCAACGCTGGAGACGGCAACGGACCACCGTTGTTAGGGGTTACATCAATCACCAAGCTTAAGGAACAGATGTAAATCTGGAGGGATGCGATTTTGTTTCACAAGATATTTTAACAACTAAACACCCCCCCTCCAAAAAAAAAAATGGACTGTTCTGGGGTCCGTCTCCCTGAGGCTAAAAATAGCATATCAGTAATAAGACGGGCTAAATGCAAACCTGCATTATTTATGGATTAAAGTTAAAGTTCTTTTCCCACCACATTACTTTTTAATTAGCTCCTTTGTGCTGTTAGTGCACCCCCACTGACCCACGAGTACTCGTTTAGCAGCTGCTGAGAGAAAATGCACATCAACACACAGAAACACACAGAAACACATAAACGCTGCCCGCCAATGGACAGCATCTACTGGGTGGGGGGTACGGCAAAGACGAGTCATTCCAATAGGGTGGCATGGCAGCAGGGTGGGGGCTGCCGTCACTGAAGCCCCGATACGCTCCCAGCAGTGGAAATGAACCCCCCCCCCTTCTCTCCCCGGCTTTCAGTCATTCAAATTATCATACGATGAACATCGGCCACATGAAGGTGGCCCTGGAGCGACTGCCTCGCAGACGTGCCACGAGGCAAAGGTTAACCCTCAGACTGGTTCCCGCCAGGACTACAAAGCTCCGCGACAAAGCTGGAATTAAATTTTAGCGAGGTCACAGACAGAGCGTGGCTGAGCATGGCGGCATTTGCGGGAACACACACAAAGCCCCGGGCCATGGAGGGCCCCCACAAGTATCTCCTGTTCCACCGTCCCCCTCCCTCTCTCCACGGGATGTCCGTGAATGATTGAGGGAACGTCTGCTCTGTTGTTGGTTCCTGGTTAAACTCACTGTTATATAACAGTCGTGCAGGATGCTTTGTGCCGGTTGTACGTGGCAAATGCCAGCCAAGGGCTTATGCGGGACGAGTTTGTACGGTGGGGCGCTTATCGGAAGAGGGCACGCCGAGCATCCGTTAAAGCGAGGGAGTTCGGGTCGAGCCGAAACTGACAGGCCGGGTCCCACTGGGGTCCATGCAGGTCCCATCCAGCTCAGGATCTACAGCATGTATCTCAGGAGAGCAAACTACGAGACCGGTGCCATCGCGGGAAGTCAAATGAAAGCCTGTAACCTAGGAAACGGCGAGGAAAACCAAGCCTCCTGAAGGGCAGAGAGGCGAGGTGAACGGGGAGTTGGGAGGGAATTTCCAGAAAATTCTGACTGGGGTTTCTAGGCCCACACTGCTCCTCTTGGGAGATCTCGCCCTGGTTTCCTGTGGCCGACACATGTTCCACACCACAAGGAGAGATTCGAGCTGCCTGCATGTTTCCCCTGCGCCCCGTGTGAGTCGCGGTGATGGATTTCAGTTGGTCGTCCTCCAGTGTGGGGGGAAAAAAATAAAAGGGCAAAGAAATGTTTAGAATGAGTTTAAAGTGATGCGCATTTAGAGCAGAATACCAGCCATAGTCATGACCTGTTAGCGGTCATGGAAAGTTAGCTGCAGTGCGTTCCCACAGACTCAAGAGCAGCGCTCCAACAAGCATGCACTTTCCACCCAGAGTAGCACTCCTGACCTCAGCTGCTCAGTCTCCAGCCTGGGTAGTCTACCCAGAATGCCCTTCTCTCTGTGGGAGCACCTCCAAAGTTGGACCTCTGGGCAACCATCCATTGGGTGGATCTACAGATCTTTCCAGCTAGGCGACCTACCACACTGACACCGTCCTAGGACCGTCCGTGACCCACTGATACATCCTCTTTTTCTGATCAAAAAAAGCTCCTCATGCATCCCACCGCCTCCTCGTTAAAGACAAATCGCACCTCTCTCTACGACACGTCCCCATCTCATTATTTTAAATGCTGGCTTGGCTGAGTGAAGCATTTTGATTTTTACCAGACACCCTCTCAAAAGAGACTCTTCGTTTCATTGGGGCGTGTAAAGTTCGGAAAGTTTCCCGGAACTTCCCAAAAGGTATGCCGCGTCTTTTGCAGGGATTTGACTGGAATGACCTTTTGGCCATTACTCCAGCATTTTAACCAGAACATCTGTGACCCAGACCCAGAGACAACAGCCGGCTTCATCTCACTGGAAGGCAGAGCCTTACCCAAAACTCTGTGAAGAGACATAGGCTAGGAGTCTGTCCAAATGACAGCCTTCACTTAATATGGAGCAAAGAAAAAAATGATGTCAATGATTTTCATAATGTCAAATTTCAAAACTTGATCCCAGTATCTACAGTAACCCTCAAATATACCCAAGTATATTTAGGCTCAACAATTATCACATTGTGTTTGGCTAATAAATAGTCTGTAAAATTATTTAACTAGCTTTAAAGAGCAAATTCCCAAAACTGACTCACTCCACGGGATAAACTTTCAAGAATCTTAGTGAGTCTTGGAAAAAACAAACCACAGCTCGCTTACAAAGCCTGAGGGCACCAGCTCGTCTATCGACCCAGATACAGCCTCCAGGGTATCGGGTGGGTACTCACGGGATGCCAATTTCAAAGACGTTGTTCTGAATGAGCTGCTTCCCCAACATGATGATGCTGAGCTGGATGCAGAGCTCGATGAGGCAGCCCCCAGGGGCACACTGGCGGAGGGAGAGGGAGGGATCAGCACGCGGCGCGGCTACGGAGAGCAACGCCGCACACTGTCTGCTCGCTAGAGAACGAGATGATTTACCACACTGTGTGTTCACCGCCTCAACATAATATCTGTACGACGTCTACGTTTGATTGATGTTTGGGTGAGGGAAGAGAACCAAACGCGACATCGAGTGATCAACAATCTGATGTCGGAATCTGCTTTGACAAAAACGGCCGACGCTGATTAGCTACTCGGATGAACAGGCCGCACTGCTGGGTCGACATCAGATGTAGCTGTGCTGCCGATTCATGCCTCAACATGCTGATCTGAGTCGGAATCCCACCAGGTGGCCAGTGGGGGCAGCAAATGGCAAAGCTTGTTGTGACAAATGTTCTGGTGACATTATGTTATCTCAGAAAACAGTAAACAAGGAATAAAAAAATGCAGGTTCCAAGTGTCCATCCGCAACAGGCCTAAAAGATCATTTGAGGCGGTTTCTCATGCTTCCTTGTAGAAGTCCTTCATTGCTGACAATACTAGATATATCACTTTTTATATTTCCAGAGGACAGTTAATCTGTGACAGTTTTATGTGCTGTGGTTTCTTGGCTGTGTTGAGTGACCATTTAGCCAAACAGCAGCCACTGCTAGTGTGCTGACAGTATACATTGTGGTTTGTGGACGGGGGGCCATGGTGATGATGTCTTACCTCCTCCATCCGTAAGCCGTTGAATACGTATACATAGTCCCCGGGCTGGCCGGCGAATCTGCAAAAAGAACCACTGAGTGGTTAGGCAGTCAGAGTCGGCGAAGTTGAATCTCAGCTGCTCTTGTCGTGACACATTGCTTGTTTACATGTTCTTCCCCACCTTTTTGTTTTGGGGGGGGGGAGGGGGGGCTGGTTACCTGTAATGGTGTTTACACAGCTAGAAGGCGTTCTCCCTTTTGTGGTTCTTACTGCCATCCCAGGTATCCTTAATGGCAGACAGGGGCTAAACCCAGCAGAATGTCTGAGAGAAGAGAAGCTGAGTCCCATCTCACAGGGAGAGCAGAGGCCAGACACCTCGCTCACCTGCTCCGACCCCCCCCCCCCCTCCGGCATCTGGCATGCATGCTGTACCCATTAACACCGTTTTGTCTCCGTTGTCCACACACATTTTCTCCCCAAACACCCCAAACCTCTCAAAACCAGCATACATGTGTTTCCTGAGTTCTGACATTATTACCTAGGATATTAGATCAGATTACATTACATTAGATCAGATAAAACTTTATTCACCCAGAGGGAAATTACTGTGCCAAGGCATAGCTTTCATACTGCAAGATTAAAGCAACAAAAAAAAAAAAAACTTAAGAAAAAAGAAATAAATAAGAAATATAAAATGAAGTATACAAGTAAAAAGATAAAAAAGGATAGGAGGTAAATACCTGAAATGACAGTGTGCATCTACAAAGAGTCTATACAGGATACTGTATATATGTGCGGTATACTGTATAAACTCTAGCAGCCCTGCAGTGTGAAATATGGTGTTCATTAAGAGTGTTCATTTACAGTGTTACTTTACAGTGTTCATTTACAGTGTTCATTTAGGCTATTCCCCATTTTACACAAAATCCCACTTTACATTTGCATTGACATAAGTGAATCTTTCACCGTAGGACGTCTGATGTTTGCCTACCTCCCCTTGAAAAAGGCAACGTAGAAGATGGGGGCGTAAGCATTCATGAACTTCAGAAGGAAGGCCTTTAGAATGAGCCGCTCTTCAAATTCAGATTCGGTTTTTGGAATCTCTGCCAAGAAACAGCAAGGCAGCCTTTACATTCTAGTCAAACCCTGCTTTTGTAAATAGTCTCATGAGTAATCTTGCTGCCTCTGTCCATATGTACCTTTTAACACTGCATTTAACCCCTTCAGGCAGCACTCGCCAGCATCCATCTTTTATGACTCACTCAGTCCACCTGTTAATCATTTTCTTGTTGGGTTTTTATTTAAACCACCACATACACCGCAGTGTGTTTTACTCGCACTGAAGGGATCTATGGCAAGGCTGCGTCTGGGATTTGGACCTTAATCTCCATTTCCATGCCCACAACCACATTGTTACCTGCTTCCACTTAGACCTGCTCCCTCTTTTTGCAGACATTACATCTCTCTTGCTCCCTGCTCGCTCCTTTTCCAGTTGTCGCCCCCCTGTCCTTCTATTCTACATCTTACTATCGTTGACGAACCACCCCCCCCATCCTCTGGGTTTAATTCCCGTCCTGCTCTCCTGCCCTGAATCATCCGGCCCAGAGCCCAAATTAACTTCAGCCAAACGGGGCTTTACGTCCCTGTGCGTATTCTGCGATTACGCTGGATCCTCGACCTATAGCTCTCGGGGCAGTGACACATGGATGCCATACCGTGCACACGGGCCCATTCCCACGGAATGGCCCGGCAAAACCTGGTTCTGGAAATTTCCAGATGCCGCAGATGGAAGCAGTTTCAAGCACCCCCTCCTTGCATTTTTTTCGGCTATGTTTTGACAAGGGATACTCTGCGGTCACGGACATCCATCTTGGCACTCAGACGCCCACTAGCTCTACGCCCCCCTCCCCGACCCCCACCTTACCTAGCTCAGTGAGCCAGACGGCCACTGCGCCGTAGATCTCGTCCAGGATGAGGATGACCACCAGGTTGATGATGACAGCCGTGGCAGTGACTGTGACGCGTACGTTGGACTTGGTCTCTGAGTTGGGGCTCATGGCCAACAGGGCCGAGGTGGTAATGCGGTAGATGATCATGCCGAAGACGACGGCGAATGTCAGGCCAAACTGGGCAGGGCACGTTTCAAGTCAGTTGTTTAAGTGGGTCCTTAATAAAAAAAACCTCTAAACATTTCAATTGACAAAAGCACACATGTCATAAATGCGCTCAGGCCCCATCATGACCTTGCAGGGGATTTCAGCGCAATAAACTGCAGTCCGAGTACAGTATGAATGAGTCAGCATGCATTACTGCATTACTGCATTACGACGCATTAGGAGTAATGGAACAAGACGGGTTGCAACCTACCATGAACAAAATGGAGGAGAAGTTGAGGATGTATCCCGGCATCCGGTCTTTCCAGGTCAGCTTCTCATGGCCTGGCTGTGTTTCAGAGATTTAAAAGGCATTTTACCGAGAAAGGAAAAAAAAAAACAATGGCAGTGTACAAAAGCAAGACTGAATGTTATAAAAATGTTTCTGGCAAAATGTACACCGGCAAACTGTATGGCGGCTTTTTCCCAAAAGTTCACTTGTAAACAAATCTGAGATTTAGGGCATTGCAGGCATTGGCTATGCTATAAAACCCTCACAGGCTGCCGGGGATGGCTGAAAGCAGGGGTTTTGGCACTGATGGCGTGCAGTGGGGCATCTAATTGCAGCTCTAGGCTGAGAGACACCGGCAGTGCAGCAGGTGAGCAGGGGCGCAAGCGGCGTCGCGAGAGGGGGGCTTCACAGAGCTCTGATACAGGGCAGCCTCTGTTCAAATGCCGCCTGATCTGGAGGGCAACAGTGCCACCTAGCAGTGCGATGGGGAACCGCAGATTTTGGGAGGCTGAGGAAACAGTGCTGCTTAGAGTAGGGGTGGCCAATCTTATCCGCAAAGGGCCGCTGTGTGTGCAGGTTTTCGCTGCAGCTCCCTAATTATATTACTAATTGGAGGACTGATTGGCTGAGGAGTCCACACACCTGGGTTTGAACAGCTGACCTAAAGGTTATTCCAAAAACCTGCATACCGGCCCTTTGTGGCCACCGCTGGCTAACATGACGCATCCTGCAAATACCCAGGCTACAGCAGCGGCGGGAGCCAAGGAGCTCAGCGGGAATGAAGCAGAAATTATAAGGCAGGGGAACAAAAAACACAACCGAATAAGACTCATATAGCGATTTAAGGAAATAAAAGGTGCAATAAAATTCATCATAAAACCCCAAATGTAATAACATTACAAACCGATCAGGCATGCCATCTCTAACAGGAAGAATGAATGTATTCGAGGAAAAGACCAAGAAAAGTGGTCTTTGATTAGGTTCCTGAAAATATTGATCTCAGCCGGATATAATCACAGGTTGTGAGTCTGTACTGAGGGCCTTTAACTTGTCCCTGATGTGTCATCGCTGACAGGGCATCCCTGGCTGTTTTTGGTCTCCAGGGCTTAACAGTCTGGATCCTTTCTCCATCACCCTCTAGCATCACCAGAGCTGCAATGAACTTGACCTGCTCAATCCATACCTCCTGCACCTATATCCATTTGGCTCAGGAATAATGAATCATATTAGGAAAGGCTGCAACAGGCTACAACACTAGGTTCAAATAAGATTACCATCTGCTACTGACTGATCATAAAAGCTCGCTTTAGCAGGATATAGTTTTGTGGAGATAAAAAGGCCTGTTGAGGAGATACATGACAGATAACATGATTAGTCACTATGGTATAATTTATAGGTCACATGCTCCAGGATCCTCCTGCTGATTGGAGCAGACCAGAATCACCACCCAAAGCATGATGGGATAGCTTCTGAAAATCCACTTCTCAGTGTTTGGAAGCATTTACGGGAACAAAAGTACTAATGGCTCTCGACAAAATTCTAAAGAGTCTTAAACAAGCAGCAAAAAAGCCAATTACCTTTACGTCTTTAAAAGGCAAAGGATAAAAAGATAGAACAACATTTACGACTTGACGTCACTTGGGGGCCTATTCCCAGGGAATATGGGTACATCTAAGATCCAAAATTACACAACAAGGGTTTCAGCAAATTAGACTGGGGTGATTCGCAGGTCACTGCAGGCCGTGGTGGGCTGAGGAAGGGTCACGGGACAGTCGGCATAACAGATACCTCCATCAGCTTGGAGGGTGGAGTTCACAAAATATCTTTTTAACAGGTGGAAAACTCCAGAGACCTCACACCTGCAGAGTGAACACTTAACATTGTAAGTAGTGTCCCAGTGACTCAAATTTGCTCATCTTAATGCATTGTTTACCGTCGACTTTATGGGGGAAAGTTAAAAAAACAGGAAACATGTGACACAAAAAATAAATGGGGCACACTGCAGACGCCTTAATAAAGAGGCAGTTAATTATCCCCAAGCTCACTTTCTGCCTGCAGGACACAGCGAGTCCCCCACCTCCAGATCCCACCGGCCAGGAGCGAGAATTAGGAGCTAAAAAAATCCATAAGAGCTTTCTATTTCAGAGAAGATAATTAATTCAAGCCATGCCAAAAAATGGCTTGAATTCATTACCTGCTATAATTTAGCAGTCTCTCTGTTCCTGCTTTTTGGAGCTAAATGCGTTGAGTCCGAAGAAGACGTTTAGTATTTAACGAGAACTTCTTTCTTTAGTATAATGTCCACCGTGGTGTTGATGCTGTCCTTAGCTAACTCTCGTGGCGTTTTTCTGGCAGTGCAGTCAACCCTTCTGTGCATAAGTAACTCCCCCCCCCCAGCAGGCAGGCAGGCCTGCAAAGCCCTTTGGGAAATTAGTGTCAGGATAACCAGGGTGGGGATTTCCTGTGGGCCATATGTTGCCCTGCAATCTGGGGAGGGCCTGCAGCCTGGGGAGGGGTTGTAGCTGGGATTACTGCCACCCCCGCTCAAGTTGCCAGTGTGCTGTAATCAAATGGCTGGGAGACACCCCCAGCGCCTCTCTTACACCACTTTTCACTATATATGTTTTACATAAGAGCGCCAGTTGTTTTATTTCAGTGTATACATTCCACCTTCAAGGTTCTAAAGTGTTTAATGATCTGGTAAAATTCTCCGTTGCTGTTAGTGTGGTGAATGGGGGCAGAAAAATGCTGGGGCATGACAGGTGAGGATAACTGATGCTCCTGTGGTAGAGAAAAGAAGCGCCTCAAGGCTACAGGTACGAGTGTTTTCCTGACAGCCCCCCCCCTCCCCCTCAGGCATGAGAACAGAATTTTAAAAATAGGTGCACGTTTCTTGAAATACTGTCAACTCCATTAGTCACTGTAGGAGGTGCACAGACTTTGAGGGATAAGTACTCGAACTGGGGGCTGTGGCTGACTGGTGGGGGATCCCTGGGATAAAGTTTCACAATCAGGTGATGGAAAATTGCAGCAGAGGTTGCTGAGATACAAGTTCTTCAAAATACAGGTCTTCAAAATGTCTTAGATATACTGGACGCTGAGGCAGGCTGAGAGGTACATTGAGCAGGGTATGGGGGGGGGCTGGGGGTGCCTGAGAATCTGCCCCCTTTGCCCGAACAATTGAAAGTGCCCCTTTAGTGGTCCTGTGTGTGCCTTACTGCTAACCACTGATCAAGCAACATTCATCGGTGAGCAAAAGCCAAGCCAAGCCCCTCGAAATCTATCGCCCCATTATGAAGACTCCCCATTATGTTTCCACATCGTTGCAAAGTAGGACGCGGATGACGTGGACGAGATTCTGCGGATCATGGTGCTGCTCTCCGATACCAAACCCGTGTTATGGTGCAGGAGACGGTCGACCTCGGGCTGTTGGCCGGTCTACTCAGGCAGGCCCCAGATAAGCCGCTGTGAGCCTCCGCTGACACACTTTCTAAAAGCTCTCACTCACACGGCACACACGTCCGCCCCTCTCAGTGTCATGTGACACCCCGTCATGCCACCTTGCCAGAATAGGCGTGCCCCCCCATCCGGCCCCTCACCCCCCCCTTCCTGTAAACAGGCGCCCGATGCCACACGGACCGAGCCAGCACCCCCCCACAGACAAGGCCCTGCTGCCCGGATCAAACCACGGCCTGCTATCGAACAACCTAGCATTAGCATTGTTGCAGGGGACAGGGAAAAAAAAATAAAAATGGAATCCAAATTCACTGCAGCCATTATCACTGTCTTTGATGCTGCATTTAACGGTTAGGCCATGCCATCAATCACCGCTGACTCATCGGCCGCACGTGGGAGTTTAAAATACTGCACTACAATTAGGGCCGGCCATAATTACCCGGTGCAAAATTCTCCAGGGAACGGCACCGGATTAAGGCTTCCCCAGCTCCCTTTATCTTTTGTCATTATTTAAAAATTTTTGGAAGGTCAAACTGTGGATTCCCTAAAAGACGGCAGCAGAAGGTGAAAAGCGCACGACGCGGATGTGTGTCACACATGAGTCCAGATACCAAACAGAGAGCTGAGGGTGTCGAGGAGGTGAGGGTGTCGAGGAGGTGAGGGTGTCGAGGAGGTGAGGGTGTCGTGATGTCGTCTCACGCCAGCCAGCCAGCCAGCCTGCCCTCCGTCCCCCTGACCTCATCCCTCAGGCAATACCCGTTACATTCCGGGGAAAAATGAAGAAAGGATGAAGCTTCTAAAAGTTTACTTGATACTGAAAGAACAACTACAGAGCTGAGCTTTTAGTCAAGATGAACTTGTTATCCAGCACCTATGGGGTCATGATTTATCACCACAAAAGAGGAGCTTTCCTACTTACATTTAGTGATTGATTTTGGATTCGCACATTACGTAGCTGGCTAGAGCTAATTATTCCGCCGGACTGAAGTGCGGTCCTGGCGCTGTACAACGACAGCTCATCAACTGCTTAGGAGAGTTGCGGCTGAATGTTCCGCGTCTCCATGGAGATACTGCAGGAGCCAAGGTTAATCTGGCACTTTTGCCCCTCCCACTCCAGGAAGCTCTCCGATCATCACAGCCCGTCTCATGTGACCCACCCAGTCAATCCTGCAGTGACAGCTCCTCCTACAGTCACACTGGAAGCTTCACCAGTGCTTCTGTACGCCCCAGAGGTTGACATAAAATATAATACCAACTTACTATAAAACCCAGCAGCAACAAGAACAGTAATAATAATAATAATAATAATAATAATAATAATAATAATAATAATTCAAAATAAATGGTTTCGGATAGTCTTATTAGGTTCTTGCTTTGTTAGAAGTTATTGTGTAGCTCCTGCTCCAATCCTGCTTACACTTATACCTCGGAATTCATAGGCAGCTCAGCCTTGACATTCGCCTCGTCACTTTGGACAAAAGCGTCTGATAATGTGTTAAATGTAAAAGTAAATGTGAAATCCCTCTGGCAAACGAGTCAGGGCAGCGTGCACGACCCTTACTTGGGCAATGATTGTACGCACCTATGTGGGACAGACACGGAGGGCATGAAACATGCTGATGGGTAGATTACCCAGAGAGAGAAAAACACGACGACGTCAAGGACACGAGACGAACTCTCGGCTGGCTTCCAGGCCTAGTCATAATCCCCGATTAGCAGCAGTGTGGGAGACTCGGGAACTACAAGCCTCTTTCAGAGTGTACAGCACCTTGCCGAGAGCCAATCCGGCCCATTATAAAGATCTGCTGCAGGCCCCGATTTCACACCTGATAAGAAACGTGCAACAGTTTTTTTTTTTTTTTTTCTTACAGAAATCTGCAGAGCAGCACACCATGAACAACTCCCCACCCAGAGCACAATGTCAGCAGAATGAAAAACGAGCGACACGGCAGCTCTCGGATGACTTTATTTAAGTCACGGCTTTGGCGTCATTAAAGTAATATGAACAGGAGTGATGCTGCTGCATAATTGAAGAGTCATAGCAGATGATCACTCTCTCTCCCTGCCCCAGGCCTCTCCATCAGACCCGTGTTCATCTTCGGAAGACCTCGCAGAGCTGCCTCGAGAGCCCAACCGAGTGGGTGCTGCACCCACAGTGAAAACAAGGAATCTCAAACCCTGCTAGCCAATGGAGAGCTGCAAAGATGGTATCCATCTAATGGAATTATCCACCTTGTGCACCGTCTAGCTTTCCTCATATAAGAAGATTAACATGTTAAAGGGCTCGGCCCCACCTTTTCCCCTGTCCCCAACCATGCACCTTAAACCCTAAACCACAATGGAAGCCACTCACAGTTTCTTCAGCCACTTGACTAACAGTACGTTCTCTGGATGCTACATTACAGGTCTATGAAGAACACAACCCCAAGTCCAGCAAACAATAACTGCACCTTTTTGGAGCTCGGATGTGAGCGTCAGGTTCATTTTAACTCTTTACCCCCAAACAGTGGGGACCTCACAGACAGAAAAAGCCATTAATGCCATTGGCCAGCTCACACGAACACACCAGCCAGAGTGCTTGCGCACACATGCATGCTACCAGGCTCTGGACGCTGCCAAAGCACATCGATTATGGTTGTAGTGGTGAAGTACAGCTCCTTCAGCCAATCAGGGGTTAGAGTGACTGATGAGTGACAGCTTCTCCAGCCAATGAGAGCACAACAACCTATGAGCTCTAGGAGCATGCAGAGCCATCAGAGAGAAAGAGCGACCTTGCGAGCAAAAATATCAGCAGGCGTCTAGCAAAAGTACAGAAAACTATGCTCAAAGCATGCGGAAGCATGAAAGTATGGCAAGCGATCTGAATTACCGGCACCTCTCTGCCCAGGGCAGACAGTAACCTCTGTCGCCATTTTTCTTTGCTTGTGTCCACTGCCTCCTCTGCACCTTTGTTGGGCTGAAACACACAGAACAGTCTGGGTCACATACTTTACAGAGTCTCTATGGGCGCAGAGGGACAAGAGCTCTGCCACTAATAAAAGATAACTAGGATCCAGGTGAAACGCTGAGGGCACCAGAATCCAACAGATGGATCACTGGAGGATGTCAATTTGATGAAAGTCTCAACTGCACAAATGCAAAGTAGAGTATACCAGCACATACTATTTGATGTTGGTTGCTAGTCGACTGTTGTCTACGAGACGTTTTACGTTGGACTGTTCTCTGGTTGCTACGAGCACCGATCCTTTCTAAATGTGAACATGGTCTTACATGGTCAATAAACCTCATTCTGATATCACTTTGGCTCAAACTGCTCTGAATAAAACAAGCAATCTCGAAGAATTTGAATAAAGAAGAGAGGAAACTGGATGCATTACATCTTAGATCTAATAGCTATTAGCTACGATAAGCTAGAATTTCAGTTCATTGCCCAGATCATCTCAGATTCCTTTAGAGGTGTTGACCACGACCCTTCAAACAACCTACATGTCCCATTTACTTAGACATCATTCTCTGTTTTCTGGGTTAGGCTGCCAGCTTCCTGTAACCCTGCACTGAACAAGCAGTTAAGGAAAAATGGGGAAGTGGACTAGCCCTTTGTTTTATGAACAGTCGTGCAAGAACGTCTTTAAAATTCAAAAGTCCAAGTGTAGATGCTGGACTAAAGCTCTTGTGCAGTTTCATAGCTTACTCTAACATTACTATGACAAACTCAGATTATAATTGTTCTGCATTATGACCACTGTGGAGAATTCACAGGTGCCAGGGCAACCAAGCCATGGTCTTCAGCCACCACTGTACAAACAATAAATGCACAAATATTGACACTTAATGGTTCCCTTTTTTTTTGAAGGTCACTTGATGTCATCCTCCGATTCATGAGGCACTGCCGGATAAGTTGATGGTCATTTCTGGCATTAGGAAGCTGCCTCTGCCCTACACCTGGCTGGCTTTGGGTCACTGCCAGTGTCTCCTGCTTAACCTTGTTCTTGTGTACTGCTGTCTTATAAGCAACCTGCTGCTCAGCGTAACCTTCTGCCCACAGAACCAGGATTAAACCAGGATTAATATAGAATGGTCTCTCGATTTTTCACATATACTCAGCCTCTAGCAACTCTGGATGCAGTACAGCCAGTGCATCCCCTCTCCAGGGCATACATACAGATTCAAAATTCAACATCTTCCTATTAGCCAAAACAGAGAAAACAATCTGTCCCTAGGAACATGAGACCAGCAGCCCTGGGGCCAAAGCTGTGCATGATGGGAAGGGCCAGCTTTGGCACCAAATTCCTGCCCCTAAAGCAACAAGAGCTTCACTCCAAGCACATAAACAGCAACAATATGAAGACCTACAGTCATAAGTACTGTATGTATTTCCACTGATACTCACACAGACCAAACCATCCAGCATGTAGTGAGGTAGCTTCACGCATACAACATACTGTCACAAACCACCTTCAACTGGAATCTTCTCCAAATCGCCCTTATTAACTAGTTCCTGCCTCTTCAAACATGGGTATTCCTGAGCTTCCCCACCTTGTTTTTCTTCTTTTTTTTGGTCTTCTTCTTCTTCAGCCTCTTCTTCAGCAGAATAGCTTCATATTTTGGCCGTGGATGCTCCTGTTGGGTAGGATGAGTCAACGGGTAACGTTAGAGTGACGACCACATTCAGCAGTCACAGCAACCCAGCTTGTTACAAGCAGACTTGAATTGAGATGAGCGGAGGTCACGCGCAATCACACCATGAAGAAGAGGTCCACCACCACCATCACCACCCAGAAGAGAGATAACCAAACTACTGAGCAAGCTAGAGTCTGACAACAGAAACTGCAAACCTTCATGTGTTCCTTGAGGAGAAAGCAGGCAAGGAAAAAAAATTAAAATAATAAAAATCTGGAACAGGACATTGGAAGGAAATCACTTTTATTTGGCCTGGCAAATAATGTTTTTATCTGAGAAGCTCAATTGAGAAAAACTGTAATCGTTTTCAACCAAACTTGATAGATCGATTATGAGACCAGAGCCACAGTCAAATTATCAGAAGCATTAGTGGTTAACATGTTATAAAAGATCTGCTGTGGTTTCTCACGTTGGCTGCTCATTCATTGGAATGGTCCTCCCAGACCCCTAGACAGTGAGAGGCCATGCCGTGACGGGCACCTCCACTCACCTCCTCCTCCTCCAGTCCATCCAGGTCCCAGCTGTAGGTGAGGCTCATCTGCTTCCTCTTCCAGTACTCCATGAACATGGCGGCTGTAGCAAACAGACCCACAGAGGACAGCTTCTCTCAAATTTCGTCACCACACAGCAACGGCTAGGTTGCCGGTTCCCAAAAATACCCATCGGTCCGAATACACGGCTCACATCAACTAGGAACACGCCAAACAAACAGACCGCTATGCCAAAGAGCTATTAAAGGGAAATAACCACAAAATACAAGTCACCGTCACTAGGTTTCATATTCCGATGTCACAGGGTACGGCGAGCAGATACGCCAGCCTACAGGGTCTCTGGCCCGTCGCTTAACAACTGGCCCGTCGCCCGGGCGATCAGCGCACGTAATTCGATAGAGTGTCGAGAATCATGAATATCTCATCGGCCCCTTTGCTTGCGGATGAGCGTGCCGGGTAATAATGCATAGCAGCGTGGCACAGGGACCGGCCTGTAAGCCAAAGCTGCGTGAGGCACCCAGGGGGGCCACTAGCTGACGGGGCTGCAGGAATGTGACACTCGTGCGTCCGGGGCAGATAGCCGCGGCCAGGCGGGCAGACTGGGCTCCCGGCTGGAGCACAGACCCACCGCCGGACGGGCGGCTGGCACGAGTGCGGCGGAGATCCGTCTGTCGTCTGTCTATGTTAAACACACCAGAAGCGGGCAGCGGGGCCAGCTGGGTAACTCACACCCGCCGATCCAAACTGAAATCGTGCCACTTGCCTTTTTCCCCCCTCTAAAGGCTTCACTGACCAGCCAGTACCACAGTATGAGGAACGTTGTGACAGGAGAGAGATTAACAAATGCAGGGTAGGGAGGAGAGACACTGGGACGAGATCTCATAATGGGCATGAACCAAGATCACAACCACATCCACCCATTTCCTGTCACTGCTTGTCCTATTTAGGGTCGTAGGGGATCCAGAACCTACAGGCGCAAGGCAGGGAACAACCCAGGAGGGGGCGGCACACTCGCAGGGCACACTCACACACCAGTCACTCACACACCATACACTCACACACCAGTCACTC